CCCGCTATTAATAAAGTTTCTAAAAAACTTACGAGGGGTTTCGTTTTGGGATTGTAGAGAATCGTTCTACGGCGTCGTTTTCTTTGCTTCATCACAAGCGCGTACAAATATCAGGATTTTTTTTTTTTTTTTGCTTAACTTTCCTTACTTGTTTCTGATCTTACCATCGAAAAAAAAAGCTCGCGAGTAGAGAGAATCCATGTCGAATCCAAACGAACCAGCGAAGGCTCTTCTACCTTACCTACAACGCGCCGACGAGTTGCAGAAGCATGAACCGCTTGTTGCTTATTACTGTACGTTTCTCTTTTATCATTGGGTTTTTGGGTCAACCGATTTGATCGCGTCCTGTGATTGAATTTGAGTATCCATGGATGTATGCTCTATCTGTAATAATTAGACTTGTCTTGGTTTGGTTTTTTGTTCTTGTGATTGTATCTTCACTAATTCATATCCTTGTACCGTTGATTGATTAGGTCGTCTATATGCTATGGAACGAGGATTGAAGATTCCTCAGAGCGAGAGAACTAAGACTACCAATTCAATTCTTGTTTCCCTCATTAATCAACTGGAAAAGGTATTGCCTTGAAAGTTCATAGTTTTCAGTTTTTCTGATTTCTTGCATCTGTGTGATGGTTTAGGGTTAAATGGACTGATTTTTAACAGTTCTCATTGATCTGTTTCACTTTCGGTGATATAGAGTGAATTTATGTTTGTGTTTGGTTAAGAGGCTTGAATCTAAGCTTAGGTTTAGGTTGATTCATGTGATTGTGAAAAACATGTGTGAAGCATGAAAATTTGTACATTGCATTGGTACTCAGGCTTGGGAGTTTATATAATCTGTTTCTCTGGCGTATTCTCTATGTTATATAGTACTTTTTGTATGTTGATGGTGACATAGTTTTAAGTTTGAATTTATTGTTGGCCATGGTAACTCACCTTGTCATATGTGTTCTTATTTATATGTAACATCTAGGATAGTTTTGTAACAGATGTCATGAGGCAATTTTTTTACTATTTCCAGTTTCTTACTGCGGTTTTTTTCTGTGTAATTCCAGGATAAGAAATCATTGAATCTAGGCTCTGATGACAATATGCATGTGGAGGGGTTTGCACTAAATGTATTTGCAAAAGCAGATAAGCAGGATCGTGCAGGAAGAGCAGACTTGTAAGAATACTTGTTTTGTAGTTGTATGTCTGATTATCATATTGATTGACATTTGACAATAGTAAGTTTCTAGTACTGTTAGGGCTACCATCAGCACTAGCTCAATGAGTCGAATCATCCTGTTTCTGCTTATTCATTCTCTGTGTCTTATGTCAAATAGACTGTCTTGTAGTGTTTGCTAATACTGAAAAGAGCATATATGTGACAATAAGCACGCAGGTAGGGAGACATCTGTCATGGTTTAATGATGACTTTCGAGTTGTAGT